CTGCCTCCCTCCCTCCCTGCCGCCCTCCCCCACGCCCCATCTCCCCAACAAGTCTGTTTTTACTTAGGCACCGTGTTCGTGTCGGTTCGCGTGTATACATAGAGCCCCCCAAAGGTAGGAGGGAGGAGCGAGGGCCACGCCGACTGCGGACGTCACGCGAGCCTCGTAAAAGAAAAAAAGGTATCCGGCCGAGGTGGGGCGGGGTGGGGGGGGGGGGCGTGTGTGCGGGTAGGGAGAGGGAAAAGGTGAAGGGAAAGAAGAGGGGTGGGAAAAGGGAGTAGTAAGGAAGTTATGAGGAAAGAAGGGAGGCAGAAAGAAAGGGAGGATGTAGGTGGCACGATATGCAGACTGGAAGGAAGGAAGGAGAGAGGCAAGAGGAATAAGGGAGGAAAGAATACGCATATGGAGAGGAGGAACGAAGGACGAGGGAAGAGGGAGGAAGAGGGAGGAAGAGGAAGGAAGGAGGGAAGAAGAGAGGAGCACAATGAAAACGGAGGGAGAGAGAAGGAGGCGAAGGGTAGCATTTTAGAAGGGAGGAAAGGAGGGCGGAGAGGCAGGGGGCTAGACCATGATTCACTCCCCAACGACCAGCATCAATATTATGAAAGTTACCTTCAAACATCCAATGACGGCGAACAGTTCCCCGTTTTTGTCATAACATCACAAGCACTGCATGTTCCCTCATCCGTGGATTACACAATGCATCTCTCATATATAACTACACAACTGTAACCTTGTGATGAACAAATTTCGACATGAATGCAGTTGATAAAACACGCACAAAACCAAACAGCACTTGCAGAACTAATACATTATCTGATCTTTGAACGCAGTTATGGAGCTTCGTGATAAAGTTATGTTTCCGTACATGTACTGATGCCGGAATATGTGCATATATACGGACAAATTTCGTAATGCAGTGGCACATTCATATAAAGGCTGATGGAGAATTTCTCTCTCTCTCTCTCTTTCTTTTTCTCTTTCTCTTTCTCTTTCTCTCTCTCTTTCTCTTTCTCTTTCTCTTTCTCTTTCTCTTTCTCTTTCTCTTTCTCTTTCTCTTTCTCTTTCTCTTTCTCTTTCTCTTTCTCACACACTCGCTCACTCGCTCACTCGCTCACTCGCTCACTCGCTCACTCGCTCACTCGCTCACTCACTCACTCACTCACTCACTCACTCACACACACACACACACAGAGGCCACGTACTAACCGACAAACAAAGGCCCAGACTCAGGAACTCTATCAATCACGTATCGGAGTAGACTCATTCTACGAGGATAATTACCGGCGAGCTGGGGACTTCCGGGTGGGGGGTGGGGGGAGGGGGGGGGTTCAGTGCAGAGGGGAGGGGGAGAGGGGAGTTCAGTGCAGGGGAAGGGGGGAGGGAATCGCTCGCCCTGTCGCATTCCTGGGTGTGTGTGTGTGTGTGGGGAGGAGAGGGGGGGGGGAGTAGAAGAAGGAGGGGAGAAGAGGAGAGGAGAGGAGAGGAGAGAAGGAGGGGAAGGAGGAGGAGACGAAGTTCAAATATTAGAACATTCGTCGGACAAAATTATAACGTCCGGAGATATGGCGGCGTTGCTTGCCATTCGACTCGATTCTGGAAACGTTCTAATCCTTTTTGCTTTTTTTTTCTCTCTCCTTTCTTCTTTTCTTTTCTTTTTTTTAGTTCACGGCACCTCATCCCAAATGTGAATTTTACTACCCCAAGATGCATTACCTGTAGGTCATTAGTAGCCTATAGGGACTTCCGGGCCCGTTTCGGCCAAGTTGGGGAAGACTGTCGTAGTCACACGTAACATGACGATATACAAGTTGTAAGTTATGTAAGACATACATACATACATACATACATAAATAAATAAATAAATAAATAAATAAATAAATACACACACTATCACAAACACAAAAACACAAACTAACAGAAGCCCGTGTAACACCGAGTCACATGGAAGAAGAAGAAGAAGAAGAAGAAGAAGAAGAAGAAGAAGAAGAAGAAGAAGAAGAAGAAGAAGAAGAAGAAGAAGAAGAAGAAGAAGAAGAAGAAGAAGAAGAAGAAACAAGATGAAGAAGAAAAAGAAAAAAAGATAGAGAGAGAGAAAAAAACTTCCCCAATTCCGCTGCGGACTTCTTAAACCAATCGGAAACCTGAAAACCCGACCCTGTAAGCGCCGTCCAGAAGCACCACCTGAAAGATGGCGATAAAAAACAAAAGAAAACGCACGTTCCCGCGGCCACGGAAGCGCCGTTCTTTTATCGGCCGGATGACCTACTCGCGCGCCCCTTCCCGGCCACGTCCTCGGCGACGAAGCAGGAGGGCAAGAGGAAGAAGGGGAGAGGAAAAAAGAGAGAGGAAGAAGGGAAGAGGAGGAGGGAAACGGAGAGGTACTGGAGGAGGAGGAGGAAAACGAAAAAAAGAAAAAGAGGAAGAAAACAGAGGGAAAGAAAAAAGGGAGGAGAACGAAGAGAAAAAAGGGGTAGGAGAACAAAGAGAAAGAGGAGGAAGAAAACGAAGATAAAGAAAATGAGGAAACGAAGAGAAAGAATAGGAGGAAAATGAAGAGAAAGAAAAGGGAGAGGGAGAGGGAGAGGAAAAGGTAAAGGAAGACGAAGAAGAAAGAAGTAAAGAGAAAAAAACAGAAGAAACTAATACCGACGACGACGACAGAGGCGTTTCAATGATTTTCCATTTCTGCCGAGTCGCGTCCCATGATGTTGTCTACTCGAACAACATGATTATCCATAACAGAGTTGCTTCGTAACTCGAGATCCCGCATGAACCACTGCCTTCCTCCAGCGCCAGTCATCAGGAGTGAACCGAAAAAAAATTAATGCACGGGGAGAAAGCCCAGTTCAAAGGCGGACTTTCTCTTTTTTGGACGGAAGGTCTTTTCGCCTCGGTCGGCAAATGTCACATTCCGGCTCGCAAAAAGGCCTGGGAACTTCCCGGTGGTACGAAGTGGACGTAAATAATCGAAGGAGTAACCTGACCCGACAGGACCACGATTACCTCCCTCTTTCCCTCGACAAATTGCCCGAATCCGCACACAAGAACTGGCTGCAACAGGAGGCCCTTCGACACAAGGTTATCATTTATTATTCACTGCCCGAGCGGTGCCACCTCGGCGCGGTGCGTTGCGCCGTGACCGGCGGTGTGAGCAAACGGACGGGCCTTCAGATCGGGGCGAAAGGAGTGGATATTGATAAAGAGAATCATAAAAAGCATTTGCGTTCTAATTTACGCACGACGAGTTCATCCCTTTTCCCTAAAACGTGACACTTTAATCACGAGACACAGTCATCCCACCGCCACCTGCCGTCTGCTCTCACTTCACGCACGAAGAGAAGAGATGGAAAAAAAGGGAAAAAGACCGTGAAAAAAACAGCCCAGAAATAGTCTCGAGTCTCGGAGCATCCGCCGCCGCTCCGTTCTCCTTCGCCCATCTCGCTGAAACCGCAGTAATCACCGCCTTTACCGAGCGAATTGAAAGCGCGGCGAAACACCTCAGCACGCCCACCCCCCCTCCCCCGCCTTCCACGCCGCGCCTGATTAGAGCCACATTTCGTTCGCTAAATTCATGTGTTTACCTTCTGTCGCGGAATGGGGGTGGTCGCGGCGGCGGGGAAATTGGTCGCGGTCGCCGTCGCTCGTCTAATCAGCTTTCTCGCAATTATCTAATCGATGGATCCTGCCACGTTAACGGGAGCGACGGCGCCCGCTGCTGCCGCTCCTCTGCCTCTGCTGCTGAAGACGTTCGAGCGAGGGAACATGCGATGAAAATCCGATTCGACTCGGACTCGAGTGGCAGGCCGACCGCGCGCGCCGCCTATTCGAGTCACGTCGCAGCCAAAAGGCCTTCCTTTCTTTTGCTCAAATGGTAAGTTCTTTACGGTCCTCCTGCACGCGCCGCCGGTGTGAGCTGTAAACGAGCGGCGGCCGCCAGAGCAGGTGCGGCTCCGGCCGGCTTTATCGCCGACAGGACGACTCTATTGGCCTGCCCTCGCATCTCGGCTGACCTTTATTTGTATTTTATTCTCTTGAGAGAAAGGGAAAGAGGGGAGGATGGTGGGAAGGACGGGGAGGGAGAGAGGGATGGATGGATGAAGGAGAAGGGGGAGGGGATGGAAATGGAGCGAATGAGACGAAGAGGAAAATATAACAGAGAGAAAGAGGAAGAGAGAGAGAGAGAGAGAGAGAGAGAGAGAGAGAGAGAGAGAGAGAGAGAGAGAGAGAGAGAGAGAGAGAGAGAGAGAGAGAGAGAGAGAGAGAGAGACCCACAACCCCACCTTACACCCGCCTGCTACGATCATCGCGACAACCCCTACACCCCACCCCAGCCTCCCCATGGGTACACTGACGCCCGCGAATCTGTGGACCCAACGCCTCGAGTTCGGGCCGCCGCGCTCCCAGGTGCGGGCAGCACTCAACGCGAGGCTGTGGCTCTGGGCTTCAGTTTCGTGGCTGTCTTCTTTTAGCATGTCTCTAAGGTATCGTGCGTGTGTGTGTGTGTGTGTGTGTGTGTGTGTGTGTGTGTGTGTGTGTGTGTGTGTGTGTGTGTGTGTGTGTGTGTGTGTGTGTGTGTGTGTGTGTCTATGTGTATGTGTATGTGTATGTGTATGTATTTGTACGTGTACGTGTACGTGGATGTGGGTGAGGGTAGGTGTTTGAGTGAGTGAGTGAATATGAGCGAAAGAGAAAGAGAGACAGACAGACAGAGAGAGAGAGAAAGAGAGAGAGAGAGAGAGAGAGAGAGAGAGAGAGAGAGAGAGAGAGAGAGAGAGAGAGAGAGAGAGAGAGAGACAGAGACAGAGACAGAGAGAGAGAGAGAGAGAGAGAGAGAGAGAGAGAGAGAGAGAGAGAGAGAGAGAGAGAGAGAGAGAGAAAATGGAAGAGAGGCAAAGAAAAAAAAATGCATGACGGAATTTCGCCGTGCAATGACTTGACCATATCACTGACCACTAACGTACCCCCCCCCCCTCCCCCCGTTTTACACCAGGACTCACCTTGGCTGCGGCCTGGAGCGTCTTCCTCAATCTGCGCCTGAAAGGAGAGAATTCGGTCAAATACCTGACATACATATAGCACACAAACTGGTTTTATTGCCTCTTCTTTCCCATGCCCTCTAACCCCCCCCCCCTTCCCCTCGTCCTGCCACTGCCTCTCTCTGCTTCTGTCATTGCCTGCCTGCCTGCCTGCCTGCCTGCCTGCCTGCCTGCCTGCCTTCTTGCCTGCATGTCTGCGTGCCTGCCTGTCTGTCTTCCTGCCTTCCTGCCTGCGTGCCTGCCTTCATGTTTCTCCCCCACCCCCACCCCACCCCTTCAACATAATACAGCTATAAATAGACACGAGGGAACAAGCAGCTCCACTCAGCAATGCAAATTATCGAATGAAGGAAATCAATAAAGATAACAAACATAAACCGCGAACGGGGAAGAGACTCCAATCGCAGCAGAGGGAAGTGGCAGATAAATAAGCCCAGAAGAAGCAGCCGCGTCCAATAACATCCGTCGGGAAGTTCAAAACAGTTCATCCGCCCGTTTGAACGCGCACGTGGGGGCGGCGGCGGCGGCGGCACCACGGCGGGCCAGGCGCTTCGGGTCAATCTTCGAACCAATCAAACTCTCAACGTCGGCCCAAAAATAACGAGCCGAATCGCGCCCAATCCATTCGCAATCGGCAAAATCGATCCACCTCAGACAGCCCTTCCTGCGCCTGATCAATCCACGTAATTTATTCCTCCGAAAAAGTGCCCCGCCCCGCACTGGCCGCCTCCCCATACCCACTTCCTCGTCGCCATAACTGCAACAATAACAGGCGAGTCAAGGCCGCGGCGCCCGGGCGGTTTCTGGTGGCAGGAGAAATGCGAACCGTTACCCACTCACCCAGCCTTCGTCCTCCTCAACCGCCAGCTCACAAGCCTCCTGCACTCGCGACCTCGTGTGGGAAGGTCGTGTTTATTGTTTGTGCAATCATAATGTTCGTTGAGACGTCTGCTGCACTGTTTAATCCCTCCCCCTCTCTCTCTCTCTTTCTCTGTTCTCCGTTGCGATTACCTTCTACCCTCTGCCATCCTCCCTTAATGTCCTTCTCCTTTCCTTCTCTTCCTTTTCATCTTCTCTTCCTCATCCACACCCTCCCTCTCCCCTTCCCCTTTCCCTCCTCATCTCCTCTCCTCTCCTCGCCGGCCCTCTCCCCTCCTCCCCTCGCCCACTCCCTCGCCCCCAACACAATGCAAAGCCCGAGCGCCCGCACCAACATCCAGGCCAAACCATGGGAAACGACCTGCTTGCACCGCCCGCTCGCAGAACGACCCCCTCGAGCAGTCACCGTTGTTAAACAACCCGGAAGGAAAGGGATAAAGATAAAAAAAAAGAGAGAAAAGAGACCGCTCAGATAGAAAGCCAACAGAAGGACGGACGATACGCGAGCGAAAGAAAGAAAAGAAAAACAAACAAACTGGCACCCCAGGGCATGTGCGGGTCATCCCAGCAACTCCGGGATGAGTCATCTCTCTCGGGGAGGGATGCGAGCGAGGGGGAGGCGGCGGCTCGAGGAGGCGTGGGTGCGGGTACCAGGGGGTGGGTGGGCATGGGTGGATCGGGAGGAGGAGAATGGGTAGATTGGGTGGGTGCGAGGGGTAGGGTGGGTGGGGTAGGTACACAGAAGGGTAGAGAGTAGAAGGGAGGGTGGGGAGAGGAGAAAGGAGAAAGGGGTCGGGTGGTCGGTGGGTGGTCGGTGGGTGGGCGGACGGGCGGCAGGGAGGAAGGGAGATGCTCGTCTGCGCCTCCACCAGGCATACAGTCGATCATGAAGACCCCTGGAGAGAGTGTCTGATAGTGAAGGAGGTTGGAGAAAGAGAAGTGAAGAAAAGGGAAGCCTGTCGATACATATACAGAATAAACTTACAACATATGGACGGAGATATGAAATGAAGATGACTGAGGACAGACAGGAATATCCCGACGAATTTCACAGTGAAAGGGAAGAGACCGATAACCAGAGACCAAGTAAAGCTCAGAAAACGGGAGAGAAACGGTCGATTAAAGAAGGAATAACAGGAAGACAAGTATGAGTCATGAATTAAGAAAATTGTGTCACATTACAAGATTCGTGAAGTACCATTGCGTGCTCTTGACTGACTTGACTTGCTTCTCGTATGGAAACCGGAAGCCGTACTATAGAGTGCTTAACACATGCGTGACGTAAGACAGTCACTTTTTCCTTAGCGTTCGAAAGTCTTGCTCACTAAAGGAGAGAGGCGAGGCAACAAAACGAGAAAGAAATCAAACAAACCGTCACAGAGGAAAAGAAAGAAGGAAAGAAAGAAATCAGAGCGACAAAAGAAAACGGTAAACTAACTCTTCGATAAACAGAACACGAACTGAAATCCGAACGACGACGTGGAACGAAACGGGCCGGCGAAAGGGAGAGAAAATAATCATGAAACTTAATGAAACGTCATAGGACAGTCTCTAGATCCATACACATGCAAATATAATGACTGATGATGATGTCGCTGATGAAGTCCCAGTTGCCGTATGAGAAGCCTTTTTTTATATTATTATTACTATTTTCTTTATTCTAATTCTTACTGTGGGTATTCACTTCCACTCGATCCGCGCTGTTGAGTCCCTCTTATTTTAATGCTATTTTTGTCATTCTCATTGTGTGCTGTTATTTGTTCGTTCTTCAATGTCTTCATCGTGGCCACTTTCACTCGCTTCACGTGATTGTGTCAGCTTTATTTCAGAATGTTATTCTTCCTATTCAAACTCATTTCTTGGAGGAGGAGGAGGAGGAGGAGGAGGAGGAGGAGGAGGAGGAGGAGGAGGAGGAGGAGGAGGAGGAGGAGGAGGAGGAGGAAGGGGGAAGGAGGAAGAAGAAAAAGAGGAGGAAGGGAGAAGGGGGGAGGAGGAAGAAGAAAAAGAGGAGGAAGGGAGAAGGGGGGAGGAGGAAGAAGAAAAAGAGGAGGAAGGGAGAAGGGGGGAAGGAAGGAAGGAAGGAAGGAAGGAAGGAAGGAAGGAAGGAAGGGAGGAGAAGGAGGAGAAATAGGAGGGAAAAAAAGGAAAAAGAAGAAGAAGAAGAAGAAGAAGAAGAAGAAGAAGAAGAAGAAGAAGAAGAAGGAGAAGAAGAAGAAGAAGAAGAAGAAGAAGAAGAAGAAGAAGAAGAAGAAGGAGAAGGAGGAGAAAGAGGAGGGAAAAAAGGAAAAAGAGAAGAAAAAGAAGAAGAAGAAGAAAGAGAGGAGGAGAAAAGGGCAGAAGTCAACGACGGCAAAAGAAATGATGAAGACGACGCAGAAGGAGAAGGCGAAGGGGAAACGACGGGAGCTCAGGCGAGTCTTCAGGATGCGAGTTTTGCGTGATAGTCTTAGCGGTCGTCTCGGGTCGTCTTTCAAGTCTTGCAAATTGCAGGCGTTGCGAACCAAAAACTATTTTTTTTGTAATTTTTTTCCTGTTTTTTTTTCTTTCTTTCTTTCTTTCTCTCTTGACAACATCTAAAAATCGAAACACGTTTTTTTTCTCTCTCTTTTTTTACCATTTCCTCTTTCCTGTGTTTCTCCCCAAGCCAACCTCTCCATAAACAATTTTCCTCCATCTTCACCTCCATTCTCTCCCTCCCCCCCCCACCATCTTCCTCTCCTGGCCTGTCCCGCATCCCTTCCATGAATAATGAATAGGCTTCATTACCATTAATCTGACAAGCGGAACCACATCAACAAAGCCGCGACAGGCCATGACATCTCCAGCGCAGGCAAGGTAGCGTCCTTTTAGTGCCTGAAGTCCCGCCCCCCGTCGCTCCCCGGCTGATGGAGCTGTCACCGTCACCTTCTCGTCACCTCTCTCTCTCTCTCTCTCTCTCTCTCTCTCTCTCTCTCTCTCTCTCTCTCTCTCTCTCTCTCTCTCTCTCTCTCTCTCTCTCTCTCTCTCTCTTTTACTTTTTTCTTCTTCTATTTGTTTCATCTCCTCCTCCCCTCTCAATTCTCTTTTATTTCTTCTCTCTCTCTCTTTCTCTCTCTCTCTCTCTCTCTCTCTCTCTCTCTCTCTCTCTCTCTCTCTCTCTCTCTCTCTCTCTCTCTCTCTCTCTCTCTTTATGCCTGTAACTAATTTTGCATTTGTCTGTGTATCTGTGCCTGTTTTCTTTCTGAGTTTATGTCTACGCCTTTACGCCTTTGTCCCTTTGTCTCTCTGTCCTTGTCTCGCTCTCCCCTCTTCCTGATTTACCTGCGCCGTCAGCCCCCCCTCCCCCCCACCTTCCCGGAGCGTCGTCAGTCAATCAATGTGCATGACACGAGGCGAATCTGCGTCCATGAACCCCATCTAAGGCGAAGAGTGGGAAGCCGCTGACGTATTTCCATTCTCTCCGCTTTAATTCTTTACATAATTGTTGGCGCAAATTCATACACCCAACGCGCAGTTCTCTCCCCCCCCCCCCCAAAAAAAAAAAAAAAAAGTTACTCTTCGGATTTACGAAATGTACTTCAAAGCCTACATCAAAAATTCATGATCCCCGGAAACATTCCCCCCCCCAAAAAAAATCATCGACCTCCTTCACTGACACTCCTCGCTCTCGCCGGTCCATCCCGACACTCCCCGAGACGTGGCACTCGCGGGGAAGTATGACTACATAACTGCGTCAGTCGCTGAGTTGATATCGTTCTCACTTCAATCCGCTTGCTCTCTTGACCTCCCGACCTTTCACTCCACGCTGCCCCCCCCCCTCCCCCCTTTCACACGTCATTAAGCCCTGCGGAAGTGCAAGTAGACGCTGGACATACAGGTACTGTTATGGTTCAATGGCGTTCATGAATGATGCAATGTTCCGTTTCCAGGTGCTTAATGATCCTCTGGTCTACTTGCGGCGGACTTGATCCACGGTTGCATGGCGTTTAATGCGTTACACATAGTGGAGTAATTGGTGAACTGGCGCTTGGTTTTCTAATTGCAAGGAACGTAATTAATCTTAAGAACATCAAAGAACACAGCTCCACCGTTTTTTTTCTAAGTCTTAGTTTTAATTTTCATATAAAACATTTCTCTCGT